ATAATGAACAGCTATGTAAGGGGATAAAAATATAGGTTCTACCAATTCTGACTTGTTTTTGAAGGTACAACCTCCATTTTTTTTTTTGCTTCAGTGTTTAGCAAGCCACTGACCCAGAAACGTATGTACTGTGCTGTCAAGGGACCTGACCCCTCACTGGTTGCATGCTTGTTCTGGGTTGGAGGCATGCTAAGTAGTGAGAAAATGATGGCTCTGGAGCATGCACATTCAGAAACAAGTCAGCAGCTCTCATATTTCTGTCTCTTAGGGCTCATGTACACGTTTAGGAGATGTTCAGCGTTTTTTTTCAGCAGACCCTGAACTCTCCCTAATGTTTTCCTATATGTCCATGTACACATAGTTGCTTACAGTACGTTACAGGCATTTGAGTTTACAGTCATTTTTTTGAACGCAGAAAACTTGCGTTCAGCAGTCGATTTTATCAGCGTTTCAAGCGCAAGACACAAATCGCGTTTATAAGCGTTTGCGTCTGAAATTTTTTTTTAATTCTTCCAGTTCCCAATGCTGTCCAGAGCCTTTTTTCATCATAGAAAATGCATGCAAAGCGGTTTCAAGGTACTCAGATGGAGAAAACACTGAACACAGGATGTTCCCACCAAGCTTGTCACACATTGTAATGATCAATTCACACCTCAGACCTCTCCCACCCTTGGAAACAAAAGATATGTTAATGACCATTCACACTTCAGACCTCTCCCGCCCTTGGAAACAAAAGATATGTTAATGACCATTCACACCTCAGACCTCTCCCACCCTTGGAAACAAAAGATATTTTAATGACCATTCACACCTCAGACCTCTCCTGCCCTTGGAAACAAAAGATATGTTAATGACCATTCACACCTCAGACCTCTCCCACCCTTGGAAACAAAAGATATGTTAATGACCATTCACACCTCAAATTCCTCATGAAGACCCCCTGCCAGGTGGCCTTAATGACTCCCTCCACCAGACACCTTTCCCACCCTTGGAAACAAAAGAAATGTTAATGAGCAACTCACACCTAATTATCGCAACACATCCTGCTGTCTCTGCTTCTACTCTCTGTATTTCTTGGACACAGTCTGAAATAGTTAATAATTTACCACTTTTCAGTGCATTCTGGGCATTTGGGAGGTTCTCCTGTGCTTATCTTTAAAAAACGCTTCTAAACGCAAATGCGCATAAACACTGTATGCAAACGCAGCTGAACAGACGTTTTTTAACCTACGTTTTCCAGCAGTCAGTTTCCATCGTTCAGAAGTGTCCCGTGTACATGGAGCCCAAGGATGTGACTGGCTGCTAAGGGCAACAAAAGCAGTTTTTTTTTTTTTTTTTTTTAATATATCTTTTATTGAACTTTCTTTTAAGAAAAAATACATTACAAAACAACCATAAAATCTTATTACATCATACACGTAAACTGTATCCCCATTCCCACCCCCAGAACACCCCTGTCCAATTTCGTCTTATCCGCTTTCCCATCCTATTGATCTAGTCTTGTATATAGAGCTCTTTAACCATTTAAATTCTCTGCTTCAACTACCGGGGGACCTTTCACTTTTAAGTATTTTTCTGATGTTTTAAACTCATACCATCTACCCCATATCTTTCTAAACTTTTCCATTTCATCTTTCTCCATGTAACAAAGTTCTTGTCCCTTTTGTCCACGTAAAAGCAGTTCTTGTCCCAGACACTTGTGTACATGAATCCCAATGGGTGACACTATTCTGGCCGTATTCTGCTACACTTAACTAATGAAAGCCTTGGGACGGTGTCCTTAAAGTAGATTTCAGGATATAAAGTGGAGAAAATAATTATTTGATCCCCTGCAGATTTTGTAAGTTTGCCCATTTACAAAGAAATGAAGAGTCTATAATTTTTATCATAGGTATATTTTATACAGTTAACGAGTTGTCCTTAGGAGCACCTTTTTAAATTGACAGGACTAATCTGTGTACCACATGAGCATATAGCCAGTCCGTGGGAGCCAGAATTATTGTTGGTTGGTAGGGGATCAAATACTTATTTTACTCACTGAACTGTGACTCAGTTTATAACATTTGTATCATGTTTTTTTCTGGATTTTTGGTTGATATTCTGTCTCTATCATTTAAAATACGCATATGATAAAAATGATAGTCACTTCATTTCTTTGTAAGTGGGCAAACTTACAGAATCTGCTGGGGATCAAATAATTATCTTCCCCACTGTATCTAACTAATCCTAACCCCTTTACACCCCAGTAATATATATGTGCGGTGCCAAAAAGCTGGACATTTGTGTTGCTGGGTGAGCAATGCTTATGTGGTGGGAGCATACTCCCTGTGCGCTCTCAGCTCAGTGCTGCCGAAACCTGTGCTCAGTCCTGAGCAAACATCGGTAGCCGGCAGGATCGGCTTCTGATCATGTGACCACTGTGACGGACAATCACAGTGGTCACATGATCGCCGATCCTTCCCACCCCCCTGGGTGTTCAGAACTTTTAAAGGGGATGCATGGGTGGGAAGGGTTTAAATCTGTCCCTTTCCCCCTCCTATACTAAATAAGCTGTGGAAGAAAGATCTGTATACTTGCCTAATTCCAGGCATCTTTGGTCTGGTCACGTGATCAGCTCCCTTCTGTCAGCCAGCAGCAGCTGCAGGGGAGAGGAAAGAGTGCTCCAACAATGGCTTGTTATGCCTGGGAGTGGTAACATCACTCAGAGGCTCCTATGACCCATCTGTTGTTGGAGCTCCCTCCTCTCCCCTGCAGCTGCCACTAACTGACACGAGGGAGCCGGGCACGTGACCAAAGCTAAACACCCTGGAAATAAGTATACAGATCTTTCTTCCACAGGTTGGTTAGTATATGTGTTAGGAGGTGAAGAGAGAGTTGTTTTAAGAATAGTTAGATGTCCTGGAATTCCAATACATGCACCACATTCAGGTAGTTCTTATGTGCGCCTCTTCAGGAGTGGTTTGCTGTGGCTGCAACACATTCAAAAGAATCAGTGCCAGTTCGCAGATTAGGAAACTGGTGGTAAGTAAGAACAACTCTAAGGGCCCGATCCAACTGGCCTGCACAGTAAAATGCAGCTGTCATTCTAAGGGCTAGGAGAGGGCGGTGCGACATGTGTCTAAGCTCATCACACTTTGTACTTTTTTTTGTCAAAATGATTGAGCTGTGGTGCTTCCAAACAGGCGTACATGGAGCAGAGGTGGACTGACAACTCATGGGGCCCCCGAGCAATAGGGGATCATGTGGCCCCTGTGTCCTTGCCCAAACTCAAAAAAGCCTATGAAAAATGTACCAGGGGCATCTCATGGGGCCCCCTACTGACTCCGGGCCGTCGGGCAGAGCCCGAGTTTCCAAATGGTCAGTCCGCCCCTGACATGGAGCCTTCAGGCTAGCTGGTCCATCACAGAAAAACATGTACAATATGAAATTGTCCGCAATACCTAGGGTACCTCCATGTATGTGTGAACAGGGCACATAAACAATTGTTTTCTGTGTGCCCTTGCAGAGAAATGCAGGTCTCTGCACAATGGTGAAGGAGCCTTAAGTTGGCATACAGAGACATACCAATGCTCAGAGTGGGGCACATTTGCACTAGGAAGCTTAGACCTTGGGGGTTGCTGTTGGTGGCCTAGCAGCCAGTGACACATATCCAGCCCTTATTCAACTGCTGGCTGACAGATTCCTGCCATTAACCAAAGACGGCCATAGCCATATTTGGGTAATGCTGTCACTCGGCCTAACCAGCCTATTTGTTTACATTTATCTGTAGGGGGATCAGGGACGTTGGCTGACCTCATTACCTGGCCAGGAGATTTCCATCATTGACCAAATATGTCCATAGTCATATATGGGTAATTATCTCAGCTGGCCTCAACAGACTATTTGTTTACATTTATCTGTAGGGGGATCAGGGAGTTTGGCTGACCTCATTACCTGGCTAGAGATTCCCATCATTGACCAATATGGCCATAGCCATATTTGGGAAATTATGTCAGCTGACCTCAACAGCCTATTTGTTTACATTCAGCTGTAGGGGGATCAGGGAGGTTGGCTGACCTCAGTACCCAAATCTAGCAATGGCCGTATTTGGTCAATGATGGGAATCTCCTGGCCAGGTAATGAGGTCAGCTAGCCTCTCCAGCCCCACTAGAGATGAATGAAAACAAAGGGGGAAGAAATACTGACTGACCTCGACATGGCAGTGGCTGTTTGCTCAATAATGGGATTCTCCCGGGTGGCAGCTGAGCAGGGACAGGGATGTGTCATTAGTTGCTAGGACAGCCGACAGCATCCTAGCAACCAAGGATGTTGTGTGGCACGGGGGCTGAAGATGACCCAAGGACACATACCATGCATGTTTTTAGCAGTATGCAGTTCTGAGATTTTGGCTTGTGTGCCCTCCTGCTCTATAGTCATTCTAGTCTTTTTGTAGATGTTTGGCACTGAGTAGGTTAAGCAGAGGCAGTCATTGATTTTGTGGTGGGCACTCACTCATGGCACATTTACAATCTGCTTTATCACAGTTGATGTGAGGTGAGCTGCCAGCAGAAGGAGAAGGCAGTTAATTGACAGGCAGAGCAGAATGAGTGACACAAGATCAGATCGCGCCCATATCTGAGGGCACAGATTTCTTTCACTGGCTGCCAACTGTACATCCAGAGCCAGGCTGCTTCATTATACAGACAAGGCAGGGAACATTTGCGGGCACGGGGAAGATTGCTTCATTCATGTCTTTTATTTTTTTACTTCAGTCTGAGTACCGGGAGCATTATATGCCACCTAGATTTTTATTATAGATTCCAAAAATAAGATGTTCAGATCGGTACCTGCCTGTGCTGAAAGTGCCACTAGATGGTGATTGCCAGTTGGATTCTCTGACATGACTTGAGAGCATTTGTACTTAACTATATAAGTGATAAAACAATTTTAAAGTATAAGAAAAATCTAATTTTTTTTAAAATTTGGGTAGAGTGTTTTTTAATTTTTTATTGTTGCCTGGCCCTGTTAGGGAAAAACATGGGTCTCTCCTGCCAGCATGGACATGCTGCTTTGTATCTCTCTGCACAGCACAGCAGAGAAATACAACACAGCATGTCTCCCCAGTAAAACACACAGCACACAGTTAACCCTTTGATCGCCTTACGTGTTAACCCCTTCCTGCCCAGTGTCATTAGTACAGTGTTAGTGATTTTTCTTAGCATTGATCACTGTATTGGTGTCACTGGGGATGCCAGTGGCAGTTAGCCAGTTCCCACCCAGTGTCAGAATGCCCGTATGGGTCTCTCCTGCCAGCATGGACATGCTGCTTTGTATCTCTCTGCACAGCACAGCACAGCAGAGAAATACAAAACAGCATGTCTCCCCAGTAAAACACACAGCACACAGTTAACCCTTTGATCGCCTCACATGTTGACCCCTTCCTGCCCAGTGTCATTAGTACAGTGTTAGTGCTTTTTATTAGCATTGATCACTGTACTGGTGTCACTGGGGATGTCAGTGGCAGTTAGCCAGTTCCCATCCAGTGTCAGAATGCCCGCCGCAGTCCCGCTGTAAGTCGCCGATCGCCACCATTACTAGTATATAAAAATCAAAATAACAATCCCAGTATATACACCAAAATTTGTAGACGCTATATCCTTCATGTAAACCAATTATTTACATGTATTGGTATTTTTTTTTAGCAAAGACGTGTAGCAGAATACATTTTGACCTAAATTCATGAAGAAATTAGATTTTTTAAATGGTTTTGTTGGATATGTTTTATAGCAAAAAGTTAAAAACATTGTTTTTTTTTTTTTTTTTTTTTCAAAATTGTCGACCTTTTATAGTTTATAGCGCAAAAAAATAAAAACCGCACAGGCGATCAAATACCACCGAAAGAAAGGTCTATTTGTGGGAAAAAAGACATCAATTTCATTTATGTACAGCGTTGCATGACCGCGCAATTGTCAGTTAAAGTAACGCAATGCTGTATCGCAAAAAATGGGCTGGTCTGGAAGGGGGTTAAATCCTCTGGAGGGCAAGAAATGTTCACAATGGGAAAATGTAACTATTGTATAGTGCCAGAATTAATTCTAGTGTTCTGTAATATAATGTATCAAAAAGGTAGCATGCATTTGTTTTCTAATCAGCACATTGGTTGCTTAGAGGTGCTCTTTACAGTGAAAGCATTACAGCATGGAAGAATATTTTCCAAGGCACCACTGATCCCCTGTCAAGTGGTCCATAGACGAATACTGCAATCTGTCAATTTGAAGCCTCCTTTCAGCTTATTAATAGACAGCAAACAATAAACAATAGGAGAAAGTTATGTAAATGTCAGCTGGCCTTTCTGTGCAGGCGTAGTGGGTTTTAGATCAGCACCAATGAATACTATTCTCTATTTTATATAATGTATTTTTTTTTTGTTTTAAGTTTTCTAATCAAGAATATTTCCCAAATAATACTGCATTTGATTTTAGGATTTGTATCTCTCCTTAGTGATTTCCCAATGGTCTAATCAAACAAAAAAATTAAATTAATCTTTGTGATGATATGAAGTATTAGATACTGCAGACAAGAGCTATCCTGTTATCCGTCCTATTTACAGTAAATAGCCGCATTGTAATCAATGCATGATGACTACAAAATATTTAATAAACTTCACAATACTGGGATGTCACTGTTGTGTGTTTAGTGCAGGTCATGGTAAGATACAAAAAGGGTTAATTAGTGTTAGGGATTAGGTTGGGTTTAAGTTATCCTTATGGTGGCCATATTCTGTACATTTATAAATGATCAGTTTCATCTCTGATCAATTTCTTCTAATAGGATTAATTGATTGATAGTCAACAACACAATTACTTGATATTCTACTCACAGGGAAGTGGAATTCGATTGGTAATTGGAAGATACAATTTAACCTTACAATTGAGTTATTGATGGTATCTTCACTATGCAACCTCGTATGTCAATCTAACTACAATTAACTGTATAGCCAAATCATCTCAAAGCTGCCAGTTGATGCAAAGCAGCAGATATATTTGTCCCTGGCTGATCAACTCAGTTTGATCAAATCTGAATTTATAGTGTTATTAAACCCAGGACCCTGCATTCACTATATCTGGTCTCCCCGGACTCTGCATTCACTATATCCGGTCTCCCAGGGCCCTGCATTCACTATATCCGGTCTCCCAGGACCCTGCATTCACTATATCCGGTCTCCCAGGACCCTGCATTCACTATATCCGGTCTCCCAGGACCCTGCATTCACTATATCCGGTCTCCAGGACCCTGCATTCACTATATCTGGTCTCCAGGACCCTGCATTCACTATATCTGGGCTCCCAGGACCCTGCATTCACTATATCTGGTCTCCAGGACCCAGCATTCACTATATCTGGTCTCCCTGGACCCAGCTGGTCTTCCTGGACCCACATTCATATATCTGGTCTTCCTGGACCCAGCATTCACTATATCTGGTCTACCCAGACCCTGCATTTACTATATCTGGTCTCCCCCAGTACACACAACATGGAAATGCAATTATTTTAGTAAATATAAACTGCTAAATACCTTTTCTCATCAGCACTTAGAGCAGTCTTGTGACTTCTATCAGTGTCCAGCAGAGCACTAGCTAAAGCTTGTAGGAGGAGTTTTCTTTCTGCTCTAGGAGGATACAAATCCCATGACCTCTGTCTGGACAATGCTGATTGGCTCTGTGCTGATCACATGCACTCTCCCAAAAAAAAAAAAGCCTCCCTAGCAATACACACTAAACTGAGTATGTGCATGCCTACGGTTCAGTCTGGGGATACGAGGTGGTCGCTGGAAAAAGGGGAGGATCAGAGATGACAGGATCAAACAGCCGTTTTACACAGTGCAGAGGATTAACCCCTTAGATTCCACAGTGAGTATAACAAGCATGCTTTACTGCATATACAGACTGATTTTCACTGTTGTGGGTTTAGTAACACTTTAAATTGATCAGAAGGCTTATGCCCTTTTTGATAGGTTTTGGATTTGATCATTTTGATGCTACAGGCTTGACCCCAATGGGGAGATTCCTCCCTCTTTGTACTAGTGACCGTTAGGGAAAATCTAACATTTTAGAGATGTCTACAGAACAATATTTAAGGGGAAATCATCCAATGGGGACACTCATATCTGTCTGAAAGGGGAAAATCCTTTCACAATTTTCTCAAACCTTCATGGGCAGCAAAGTGGCTAAATGGTTAGCACTCCCACATGGCAGTACTAGGGTCATTGGTTCAAATCTCAACCAGGGCACCACCTGCCTGGAGTTTGCATGTTCTCCCTGTGCCTGCATGGGTTTCCTCCAGGTACTCCAGTTTCCTCCCACTCTCCAAAGACATGCTGGTAGGTTAATTGGATCCTGTCTAAATTGTCCCTAGTATGTGTATGTATGAATGTGAGTTAGGGACCTTAGCTTGTACACCCCTTGAGGGTTAGGGACTGATGTGAATGTACAATATATATATATGTAAAGCACTGTATAAATTGACAGCACTATATAAGTACCTGAAATTAAAAAAAAAAAAAATGTACATCTGTGTGAAGGGACATTTCCGCAAATGGCAAAAAAAGCCTTTTAACCTTTTTCCCTCTTCTATTAAAAATCTCTCTCTCTCTCTCCCCCCTCTCTCCTCTCTCTCTCTCGTCCTCTCTCCCCTCTCTCCCTCCCTCCCTCCCCCTCTCCCTCCCTCCCCCCCCCTCTCCCCTCTCCCCCTCTCTCTCTCTCCTCTCTCTCCCCCTCCCCCCCCCTCTCTCTCTCTATCTCTCTCTCTCTCTCTCCCCCTCTCTCTCCCTCTCCCCTCTCCTTTGGGATACCTTGGACAGCACTGATGCATTCACTTTTTTTCAGCACTAATATTAACACTGCCAGACTGTATTGTACCACAATAACTGTGTTTAATTAGATATTTCCTTAGAAGTTATAGATCATTTAAATGCATATTTTCTAATTCCAGATACTCCGATCTGTTTCGCCCAAGAGGCCAAAATGTCTATGGAAGTAGCAGATTATCAGACTAGTGAACAGTCGCCCCTTCCTGTGGTTATTATTGGTAAGTGCTTGCTTGTTGGCTTTTCTTACTGCTTAGTCAGGTTGGCATCTCTAATACTTATAAAACTGAAACACAGAAGTTGATCTGCTGATTTCCATTTAGACCACTTCCACTTTAGCAATAATCACTCTTTATCAGAAGAGATCTACGTGAGTAGTAGTCCTTCCACATCTGTCCTTTCAAAAGAGACGTGTGTACTCAGTTTTTTTTTTTTCTCATATTCTTGCCATATTTTTTGAATGTTGATGATTTTAAAGTGGAAGTAAACCCATTGATTTAACTTTAATTGATTTGATTTAATTATTTTCCAAAACCGGTATATTTAAGGCATGCTGTGAATGATAACTGTCAGTTGCTTGTGCTCTCAATTGAACTGTCAAGCCATCAAATTGCTTGTCATAACTGATTGCATGTACAACGCCATGGCAACTGCAGATCGAACAGAGGCTAAGAGGGAATCTTCCTTGGCTGTATAGGAGCCACTGGTTCCTGTTACTGTCAATGAAATGATGTGGTGGAAGCAGTGTCAACACACAGACAGGAAGGCTCAGGAGCGAGCCCACACAGGTGCCCCGTGGGGGTTCCCCCACTGTTAAAGGAATAATCTAAAGAGCAGAAACCACAGTAAACCATTGCAACAGCCTTTAAAAGAAGGGAGACCAGTACAAGGTGCATTCTGATTGGTTGATTCACTGTGTTTCAGTTTTTTTTAATAAGCCAGTTGATGCAGAACAGTGGTCACTAAATAATGTCTTATGACCAACTGCAACCATGTGTCCTTGATTGCAGAATTCTGATTGGCTGGCACATTTCCCCAGTGGTACACAGGCAGCAAAAAAATACCCTGGCATGGGTTTTAACTCTTTGTTACTCTATCCAAATAAAAAAAAAGTTTTGGCTATGCATGCAACATTAAGTGGCCATAGTATGCTATCAATCAGAGGCCAGGGCCGATTGGCTTGGCAATATTGATTTTCTTGTGTGACAATAAGACATTTCTTTAATTTATAAATACAAAAGGCCCTGTTTGCGTCTCTCATACCTGAAACATTTGTATTACCATGTTAGCAATATGGCAAGTAAAAAATTGCCTTATACAGGCCAAAATGATATACATTGTTGCAACAGTGTAATGATACATTATTTAGAGTGAGAACAAAGCGGAGATACAAGATACAACAAGAAACCATTTATGCCAGACATGACTGGCATGATATTTCCATATGCATTTATGTTTGGTAATGTGTCCTGATTGTAACCTTGATCCTTTTTGGCAGAGACCCACATTGTGTCCTAATCAGCATCGTCTATAGTTTACAGGCACACAAGGACCAGCTGTAACTTGTATTACATTACATAAGTACACCGTGCCCATACCCACTGATGTCCCTGCCAGCCAACGCTGGAAGTGGCTCGGCAGGTTCTCTGTACGGGAGCCATACATTATTGTTCCAAATGTAATCATATCTCTATGACCGTCACAAAGTGCCCAGACATGTATTATGCTCTCACATATTCATTCAGAGCAGGGAAAACATGTACTGAATGGAGAATAAAGCAATGTACCAACAAAGCTAACTGGAATACTCGGCCTTAAAGCTGAACACTAGGCAAACAGCTTAAAGTGGTTCTAAAGCCTTAAAAGTTTTTACCTTAATATATTCTATGCATTAATTTAAAAAAAAAACCTTCTGTGCTGCAGGATCCTCCCCAGCCCCCCCCCCCCCCCCCCCTTATACTTACTTGAGCCCTATCTGATCCAGCAATGTGCCAGAGAGCAGCGTCTCTCACCACCATCTCCCTCCACATTGGGCAGATTGATAGAAGCGGGAGCCACTGGCTCCTGTTACTGTCAATCAAATGATGTGGTGGAAGCGGGGTCAACACACAGACAGGCAGGCTCAGGAGTGAGCCTGCACAGGTGCCCCGTGGGGGTTCCCCAATGACAGCTGAATGTAAAAAAAAGTGCTGGCAATTAAAAAATAATTTTAAAAATGGCATGGGGTCCCCCTTCCATGCATACCAAGCCCTTCGTATCTGGTTTGGATTTTGAGGGGAACCCCCATGTCAACATTTTAAAAAAATTGGCATGGGATCCCCCCCAAAATCCATACCAGACTCTTATCCGAGCATTCAGCCCAGCAGGTCAGGAAAGGGAGGGACAAGCGAGCGCCCCCCTCCTTAACCATAGCAGGTCACATGCCCTAAACATGGGGAGACAAGGGACTCTTCCCCACAACCCTGGGCTGTGGTTGTGGGGGTCTGCGGGAAGGGGGCTTATTGGAATCTGGAAGCCCCCTTTAGCCAGGGGGCCCCCAGATCCCGCCCACTATGTGAATGAGTGTGGGGTACATGGTACCGCTACTCATTCACAAAAAAAGTGTAGTGTGAAAAGAGACAGGAGACATTCTTTGACAAGTCCTTTATTAAAAGGGAGAAAATAAAAGAATGTCCCCTGAAGTAGATCCAACATCAATCACGATGCCCGCCGCCACCACCCGAAAAAAGAATTAAAAAAAACAAAGGCTGCACACTCTACGCTGGCTCCCACCGTCTGACTGCTCCGATGACTTGACAGTTCTTAAATATGTAACATGGTGACATCACGGTAACTGGGTGACATCATCAACCAGGGCTTTCTTCCAGGGTTTTCTTCCGTTCACAAACACGGATGTTAATGGATGCGGACATTAACGGATGTAAAAAGATGTTCATCCCTTTACACCCACAAGTCCATAGAAATACATGGGGATCCATTTTTCACCCGTAAACGGACAGATGAAAAACAGACGCCCGTGTGAAAGGACCCTAAATCTACCCCCTTTGTTTCTCTCTCTACAGACCTTACAAAGTAATTGACTTTTAGGTCAATGCTTCCACCCTGGATAATAAATTCATGCTTCAGAGCTGCTATCCCAAGACATAGAAGACAAAATAGATGGAATTTCCCTCTCCCATGCCTAAATATATATTATCTCTACTATAATACACATAGCTTTCACCTGCCTGCTGTTCCTCTCCCTGGGAGCTGCATATTTATGGTTCTCGTGTTGCATTGTCTTTCTTTCATCATTGGGTCCAGGCAACAAAGACAATGAAAATGGATGGCCAAAAAAAGTCCTATTCATGCATAGAGGGTGTATTTAGGAATGTGTGCCTGTTTCATGTTTTGCTTTCCAGAGCACTTAGAGACTTATCTATTTAATGGTTAATGCTTGCTTGCTTTTAGGTAATGGTCCATCAGGGATTTGTCTGTCCTACTTATTGTCTGGATATACTCCATATGTAAAAGAAGGAGCTGTACATCCCAATCCATTGTTACAAAAGAAACTAGAAGAATTCCCTCGTGTTCCTATCACAGAACAGGTTTGTGTACATTTATATATGGAATTATGCAGTCACATGATCATTGCTATATCTGCAACACATACAGTATATTTAATTATTACAGTGGTTAGAATTGGCTACCGTGACAATATTGAAGCTTAGTCCATTAATGCAGAAGCAATAACCGAAAAATGGTTTAAAACTCCAGCAAATGGACCTCAGAAAAGATGAGGGGAACAGCTGTGATAAGCAAATTGCTTTCATGGCAGTCTCATTCATGTAAAAGGTATTATAGTGAGCGCTACTTAAATGGAAAGGTATATAAATATGTATATACAACAAAAATGATGAGCAGCTGATACACCGAAAAGGTAACCAAACAAAAAACCTCCGATGAAACATATATATCACATAGAATGGTGCAGCGCTGCACCATTCTATGTGATATATAAGTCTCATTCATGTGATCCCATTCTTTTGTCAAAGTAAGAGAAAGGAGGACAAAAAGGAACCAAATAACAAAAATCAGGTCTTTCATACAACACTCTCTACAGGAGAACTTTTGACAACCAGCTAGCTGATGGCCCTGGAGGTGATCGGCACCTTGGAAAGGTCACTATGACCTGAGGCTACGTGAACTACAGCACATTTTAGAAGTTTAAATGAGAAAAATCATTCTGGAAATGTCACTTGGTGTCATTAGAACACCAAGTATAGCAGAAAAACCTCATTTTTTTAACTAATACATTTAATGCTAGAGAGGTGCCTACAGGTGTCACTTCCAGCCATGAGTAGATTATCACTGAAAGGCCATAGAGGCAACTGCCTTGGGGATCTACAGCATGGAAATACTGGTTTCATAATTAGCTGACATTGAATGTCATATACAATAGATCCAGGTCAATGTCTTGGTATGTGGAAAATCAAAATAAAGTTACAAGTACTTGCCTTTAAGGAAGCAAGCTGTCTAATAGAGGCTTCTGAGTATATCTGTAAAACAGTACTTTAAAGGGAGTCTGGCAATGTTGAAACTCTGTCCTTTATATAGCACTCAATGTGTTGTGTTGTTAGCTGTAGACCTTTTTTTTTGGTGAAGGTCTTAGAATACTTTACATAATTCATTCCAATAGCTTTCTGTAACCGCGTTAAATATATCTTATGTGTAGACCTGTGGTGAGCGGTGATGTTGCTTGCTGCTTCAGCACAATAATCACTCATTGTCCTGACCTACACAAAGCTTTAAAGTGGGACTAAACCATCATTTTAATTGTTTCCCAAAACCGTTACATGCAAGGCATGCCGTGAACGACAACTGTCAGTTGCTTGTGCTCTCAGTCAAACTGTCAAGCTATCAAATGGCTGGTGTCGTAACTGATTACATGTGCAGCACCATAGGAACTGCAGATCAAGCAGACGCTAAGATGGTAACTTTTAAGGATGGGGGGGGTTCCACTTTAAGGAAACCCTTTCCTGAGCACAGAGAATGAAACCTAGCATTGGCTTTTAGAGCTGGTGATGGGCTTTTAGATGAAAGTGATCCAGTTGACTGTTCAGTCATGTTTATGGGGATCTGTAGGTGCTGCGGTGCTCACAGCGGTTTCCGAGGTTTTACCATTCCTTCGGGAGTCCTAGGACCGCAGTACAGTGCTGTAACATTCACAGGAGGAGGTGAGCAAGAAACATCAACTCTCTGATCCCCCCTGCAACTTATGAACCCTGAAGCTTGGGATTGAAGTAATTTCTGGCAAAAAAGTAAGATTTTAAAGTGTTTTTTTTTCTTAATGAATTCTTTGCATTAAGGTAAAAAACCTTTTTCATGCAGCCCCACTCTTAATACGCACCTGAACCAGATCTGGGTCCAGCACTGTGCATGTCTTCAGCAGCTGCTCTCCCTGCTCTCATAGGCTTGGCTGAGAGCAGCGGGTGCCATTGGCTGCTGCTGCTGTCAGTCAAAACCAGTGAGCAGAGAGCAGGGGGTGGTGCCAAGCTGGGCTGTGTGTCTGAATAGATGCAAGCAGCTCGGTTTGGGAGCCAGTCTGCACCAGTGATCCCATAGAAAGCAGCTTCCTTTGGTGGGCACTCAACGGGGGTAGGAGCCAGGAGTGCTGGTGGAGGACCCGAGCAGAGGAGGATTTGGGCTGTTCTGTGCAAAACCATTGCACAGAGCAGGTAAGTAGAACATGGTTGTTAAAGCTTTAATGTCACTTTAAGATGTGTGAAAAATGTGGAAAGTGGTTGACAAGTGGTTGGTTGACAAGTGGTTAAAAATGACTGAGGTTTTTATTTGACATTCACTTTAGGGGTTATCCATTTTTATTTCATACCTTGACCTCTGCTTTATTCAGGCAATGCAGATTTTCATGCTAAATCATCAAGTAGGGGTAGATGCCAGCGGGCTGACATACCCACCTGCTTTCTGTATTTCAATAAGCAATGAGATCTTTTCACTAGGGATGCACCGATACCGTTTTATTTATCGGCGAGTATGAGTATCAATACTTTCTGGCAAGTACTCACCAATACTGAGTACCGATACTTTGCAGTGCGATTTGCATTACTGGATGCAAATTGCAACACAAATAGCATGCGATTTGAATGGTTAGCACTTCCGCCTGGCAGTACTAGGGTCGCTAGTTCAAATCCCAACCACGGCACCACCTGCCTGGAGTTTGCATGTTCTCCCTGTGCCTGCGTGGGTTTCCTCTGGGTACTCCGGTTTCCTCCCACACTCCAAAGACATGATGGTAGGTGAATTGGTTCCTGTCTAAATTGCCTCTAGTATATGTATGAATGTGAGTTAGGGACCTTAGATTGTACACCCCCTGAGGGTTAGGGACTGATGTGAATGTACAATATATATGTGTAAAGTGCTGTGTAAATTGACAGTGCTATATATATAAGTACCTGAAATAAACAGGAATGCGATTCCTGTCCAAATTGCATGTGTTTTCCCCACTGCTCCTGTGTGAACCCAGGCTTGCAATAGCCTGAGTTCACACAGGAGACAGCATCAGCTGCTGACCAATCAGATGCCGTTTAGCCCGAACTGTCATCACTGCAAAGAGAGGAAAGAAAGCGGCGGGGATTTCAAATCCTGCTTTCTCTCCTCTCCTACCACTGACACTCAGCATGGGATGCCTGCAGGGAGGTTTCCCGCACCACTCCTTTGTGAACTCGGGCTATGACAATCCTGGGATCACACAGGAGCCATGGACAAACCGCATATGATTTGGATTGGAATCGCATTTCTATTTAAATTGCATGCTAATCTTTGCGGTGCAATTTGCGTCCGTTAAGGTAAATCGCTCCACAAAGTATCGGTTATGGTATCGGTACTATTTTCACTAGTACTTATGAAAATACTCGGTATCGGCACTGATACAGGTACCGGTACCGGTGCATATCTACTTTTCACCAAATTGTATTTAGCAATGGGAGTTAAATGATTATTGATTATCAATACATCACAATTAACAAATGAAAAACTTTACATTTTGTACCTTTCCAGGATCTCGAGTATTTGTCTGAGGGCTTGGAAGGACGTTCCAACAGCCCAGCTGCTCTTCTGTTTGACATTCTGCTCAAACCTGACACTGATTTTTCTCGGGGACGTGGAATCTGTGCTGAGCTGGACTCTAGAGCCAGAGAGAGCCATTCCTCACTTGGTGCTGGGAAGAGGACCGCCAGGGGGAGCTTGGAATGTGAGTGCTTCAAATGTAATTTATAAATGGATCACATTAGAGACAGAAGAGACAGCTGCAGAATACATCCAGAGAAGCCAAATGCTTTAGCTGTTGTTCATTGTGACATAGATTCAAAGAGGGAGATTTACTAAAACTGGAGCACTCAGAATCTGGTGTAGCTGTGCATGGTAGCCAATCATATTCTAACTTAGACAATAGAACCTGGAAGGTGATCAGTTACTATCCGCCGTTGCACCACATTCTGTGTGCACCAGTATGCAAAGTATTCATTTGTACACTTGACTGCTGTGTACAGTTACCCCTGGTTCACATATATGCAGCCGTGTGGGCTGCGTTTTGCACGGCACGAGAGCACATTCATTTGAATGGACTCCCGTGCCCCGTGACACGCAAGGAAGAAGTCCCTGCACTTCTTCTGAAAACGTAGCCCACACGGGAACCTCGGTTCCCAGTAGGGTTGCGGTTTCCAGTGTGGGCGGCGTGCCATTAGAAGTAATGCTCCCAGGGAGCGCGCACAGGCTAAAATGGCGAGCGCCATTTATGAACTGCAACCCGCCCCTGCACTGCTCCTGTCCGGCCGTTTTATACATGGGCCGGACAGGATGTGGTCTCACACAGAGGTCCCATACAGCGATCGGTGTCCGGACAGCAGGCACTGAATTGCGGTGCGGAGCGCTCCCAGGGAGCGTGCACAGGCAGGGAATGCGGAGGCCATTTATAAATGGCCACCCGCTCCTGCAATGCTCCCGTGTGGCTATTTATGTACATGGGCCCGGACGGGAAGTGGTTAATGAATCTTTCACACTATAATCTGTCATAGGGTTGCCACCTCATCCCTTTAAACCTGAACACATTAATTACACAGCTTCTGAGGCTAATTTAATGCACACAAGTCACCGAGTGAGTTTTAATTACCACCTTAATCAGCCACAGAACCTGTGTAATTAATATGTGTTCAGGTTTAAAGGGACCATGTGGCAACCATACTCAGTCACCACCAGAGCACATAGAAATCATTTGTTTTCTGTGTGCCTTGTTTACACTACAGTATGCTGGAGCTGTACAGAAAAATGCAGATTTGCTGTATGTTTCCACGTCACAACTCATTGATGACACTTCAATGAGATTAAAACAATGTAAATAGTGTGAAGGGCTGCATTGCACTTCCCCTCGCCACTTGTGCACAATGAACACCAGCCTGCACCAAACACCAGGAGCTAGTGTGAACAAAGCCTGAAAATCAACTATATTCTCTGTTTAAATGTCTTCAGGGAAAGTAAGCATTTTTGTTCTGTGCTGTGAAAGTCATGTGATGACAATATTTTCTATTTTAGGCCATTGAGGGATCCATGATTACTCTTAGCCGTGGGGAATGGATGGGCCTGCCTGATTTGTCATTTAAGGACTGGATAAGGATGAAAAGGAGGTAAGAAACCAAATACACAATCAAGCTTTGGAGTATGGTCACTGTTCTGTATGGGTTGTATATTTTTTGGTTGTTTTAGATAAATGTGTAAGCAGAATAGCTTGGTGTAAATCCAGTACTATTTGACGCACAATCTCCTGACGAAGAAAAATTCTTCTTCATTTGCTTCTCACATGCTCTCCCTCCCAGACACTGCAGCTCACAGTGGGAGGGTCCCAGCAGCACAGTCAATCCAGAAAGCAATGGGCAGAAGTAGGTGGGGCCAACTGCTGATTGACCAGCTATAGGCCTGTGAATCACCAGGGGCAAAGCTGATAGCCACCTGCTAGCCAACTTCTTCACATCACACTGTATTGCACTGTATTTTCCTATCAGTCCATTCCCTCAAGGAGCTTACAATCTAAGGTCGCTATGTCACATGCTTACACACACATACTAGAGCCAATTTATAAAGGAGCCAATTAACCTACCAGTATGTCTTTGGAATATGAGAGACCAATGTACCCGGAGGAAACCCATACAAGCACAGGTGAACTCCATGCAGGTGGTGATTAGGTTGGAATTTAAAATGATGACCCTAGTGCTGCAACACAGGAGGCTATATATATATATATATATATATTATATATATATATATATATATATAACAGGGGCGGACTGACCATTTGGAAACTCGGGCACTGCCTGAGGGCCTGGGGTCAGTAGGGGGCCCCATGAGATGCCCCTGGTACCTTTTTCATAGGCTTTTTTGAGTTTGGGCAAGGACACAGGGGCCCCATGATCCCCTATTGCCCGGGGGCCCCATGAGTTGTCAGTCTGCCCCTGTGTGTGTGTGTGTGTATATATATATATATATATATATATAATGTTAATGACCATGCTTCAAAGTCTGCGAAAGTCATATAGAAAATTGTATTAAGGTAAACATTGATCAATAAAATATGTACCCACTGAAAATAAATAGCTTTTCCCTAGCTCCTGTTCATTTATTGAAAAGCATATAGAGTATTTGGGTCTACCATTTCATGCACTGTATCTTCGTACTTGGAATTCCTACTTCTTATGGGCTCGGGGGGTCATAAACTGATAAGAACATTGCAGAAAGCTTCAGTTTACAATCCAAGAACACAGTCTAAAGCACATAACTATTGCGATTTCCATGCCGCCAGCTAATCTCTATTTATCTCAGCTACTCATAGTGCACATAGCTTGCATTCTGAACATGGATAAATTAATGTCATACACAACTACCTATGCTATTCTTATCAACTGTTAAAGTGGCAGTATGGCCAAAAGCTAACGAAGCCTAAATCTACACCAACCCCCATTGTAAGCCATATGCTCACTACCCTTTAAAGGAAAGATGGATATACTTACCTAATCTAAGGACATTTTGGTCCGGTCACATGATCTCCCCAGTGGCCGGCTTTAGGGGAGAGGAGAGACCAGTGACAATGGCTGCAGAGCCTGGGCAGTGATGTCACCCATAGACTTAGTATGGGCATCCTTTGTCCGCTACCTGTCCTCTACACTGAAGCTGGTGCTGGGAGCCAGTCACCACCAATTACCTGCTAGCCAATGACCAGAGCGCCTTTAGATTAAATAAGTATAGACTTTCCTATACAGGGCAGATAGAATAGAGTTTAGAGTGGTGGTGGGAGTAGGTTTAATTAGCTTTTGACCAAACTTTTTCTTTAAGGGTCTTTCTACTGTGAAAAGGGTTTTTTTCTGCACAAATGAACTGCACTTATTTTGAGTTATAATTGCAACATTTGGGTCAGTTCACACTACATGCATTTCAGTTGCTTTTTTTCTGCATCCAAAACGCACAGAAAGTAGTTTATATGGTTGTCAATATCATAGTTCACATCAGTGCTTTCAGTTCCAGTGCGTTCCGGTTGGAGAAAAAAAAGTAGAACATGCTGCATTTTTTCTGCACAGAACTGTACTGGAATGCGGTAAAAAATACATCAGAACACACCAAAACGCTCCAGAAATGCACTGCCAAAATAGGTAAAAATGCATGTGCAGAAACACATCCGGAACATGTCTGGACCGCGTTTCTATAGTGTGAACCGGCCCTTAATGTAGTATTGTGTAAAAATTTTTTACATACTGAGCACAATGAAATAAACATTCCCCAGTTAACTATTTGATAACATTCTTACCCCAACACTTACATTTCACAACTTTCAATGCTACATAGTTACATAGTTAGTCTGGCTGAAAAAAGACAAAAGTCCATCCAGTTTAACCATAAAAAAAAAAGTTATAATCCTAATGCCCACAGAGGAAGGCAAACAAACCCCAACAAATCATGATCCAATTTTGCTCCTTCTGGGAAAACCATTCCTTCCTGATCCCCCGAGAGACAATCGGCTATTCCCTGGATCAACTTTACCTATAAATATTAGTATCCAGTTATATTCTGTGTATCTAAGAAATAATCCAGGCCATTTTGAAGCAATCCACTGAGCTGGCCAGAACTAACTCTTGAGGGAGTCTATTCCACATGTTCACAGCTGCTGGATCCTGTTCTCTCAGTGCTGCTTCCCTAAATGTCCAGTCTTCAAAGGAAGAGTTTATAGTGGACAGTGCAGTCTTAAGAAGACTTAAGTTGAAGGAAGGGGAGAGGAAGGAGGAGCAGGGGAGTGCCTTGCCATCCTATGCAATGAGACTGCGTGTTTCTGTTGATGCACAAAGTGTTGGGAGCAGTGCCCAAACAAGGACATCTAGAGCAAAGGGCGAACATGCCAAAATTCCCCCCTCCTCCAAGATGTATGAGCATTATGTGTAAGCAACACCCCCCCCCCCAAAATAAAATTGAGCACTAATCTGCATGCTTTCCCAGTAAGCATAAATCCCCCCTCCTCCCAGTACAAATCTGCCCCCCTGCTAACCCCCCCTCCCAGTATAATTATGTGCCCCCAGCTCCAATCCTCTCTCTCCTCATATTTCTCCAACACAAATCCCCCCTCCCCCTGCCAAAAAAAAAGTTTCCCCTGCGAGCACAAATCCTCTCCCCCTCATTCCAAATGCCCCCTCCCAGCACAAATTCTCCTCCCCCAAGCCCATATCCAAAACACAAATTACCCCTTCCACCCAAACTCCTAGCACAAATACCCCCAATCATCCTTTCTAGCACACATTCCCCCTCCAAAAAAGTGCCCTTCCTAACGCAAATCCCCTCCCCCCACCATATCACATTTTTTAGCACCCCCCCCCCACCTCCTAGCACAAATCCCTCCCTCCAAACACAAGTCCCCCAAATCAACACTCCTAGCACACCTCCCCAAATTACTCCTTCCAGAACAATTTTAACCCCCTACCTCCCACCAAATCCCCTCTATAAACACAATTCACCTCCCCCCAATCTCTTTGTGGTGCTCCCCCCCACCTCATATGATATCACAGTGTGCCCAGAGCAGCCATCCGTCCTGCCCATCCCTTGTCCCAGCCCTGGTTGGGAGACACAGGTCTAGTCCCTGCATGCAAGGTTCACTCTATTAGATGCTGCAAGGAAGGGAGCCACCCTGAAATGGGAAATCTAGGGCAGCAGTCAGAGCACAGGCTTACACTGGGACATACGCAAGGACTAAAAGATAATGAAGTGCATACTCACTAAGTGATTACATCAGCTGCTGAAAGTGTTTAAAAACAGAGGGTCTAATATCACTTTAAATTTAGGTGATCCTGAACTTTGTCTATACTGGTGAATAGGTTCACTTTAAAGAGCAGACAATTGGAACCTGGAGGAAGCCACTCACTGATAAAAAAATTATTCATTTTCAAAATGTGTAAAAACACAGCATTGACTTAACTAACCACCTACTTGTTTTATTTTTTAGGAACCTCAGAAATGATAGATCCACTGCAGGTGACATCTTGAATTATTACCAATACTATGTAAGGAACAAAAGACTTCAGGACAACTTTGTTTCAGGAGCTGTTGTCAAATCGGTTGTAAAACTGAGCAGAAGTGAGGAAAGTTTACCTGAGAAGGACAACCTCTGGGACATACCCGAGCCTAAAACAGATAGACCAGAGGACAAGAGCATCTTCCAAGTCAGTGGCTTCATCAAAAACAATTCAGGAACCAAGCAGAATTTCTGTGTATATGCAAAGAATGTGGTTTTGGCCACAGGAACATATGATAGTCCTTTGAAATTGGGCATCCAAGGAGAAGATCTTCCATTTGTATACCACCAGATCTCTGCTCTTGAAGAAGCTGTGAAGACAAAAAAAGTCCATCAAGACTCGGACCCTGTACTGATCATAGGCGCAGGTCTGACAGCTGCAGATGCCATTCTGTTAGCGCATCATTACAACATCCCCGTAATTCATGCCTTTAGAAGACGGGTTAATGACCCAGCACTCATTTTCAACCAGTTACCACAGGTTATGTACCCAGAGTACCACAAGGTGCACCACATGATGAAAGAACAATCCGTTTTTAAAGGTGGACCCTATGAAGGTTACATGAGTCTTCCTGAACACCATGCAGTTCACTTTAGTGACAGCAAAAAATGTATTTTCAAGGATAAAAATGGACAGCGCAAGGCCTTGAGTGTCTCCATGACCCTAATTCTTATTGGTTCCAACCCTAACTTGTCTTTCCTTCCAGAAAATGGCAAGCACCTGGCTGTGGACACACAGAAGCCAGTCAGCTCCAAAAGGAATCCGCTGGAGATTGATCCATTCACTTATGAGTGCTTACAGGAGAAAGGTCTTTATGCAGTTGGACCTCTGGCTGGTGACTACTTTGTACGCTTTGTTCAAGGTGGAGCTTTAGCTGTTGCTAGCTCAATACAGAAATCTCAGAAGAAACCTCCCTAATATTATAAAACATGTTATTCTGTAACACCAAGAACTGTATCACAGATCAGCTCACAAAGAAGGCATTTTACTGAGGTATAACACACAATCAGAATGCCTTAGCCAGTACAAAAGCCAGCCAAATGCAGATCATTCCACCTTAGATGAAGATACTTATGGTGTTTTTGTCTTCTCATTTAATTCAGTAATGCAATACAATGCATATTTTTACATATAAGGATATCGAAGGTATTAATTGTGTACACAATTTTCAGTTTGAAAAAACTGAAACAATGTTTTTATTTTAGTTACATGGATTATTTTCATACTGGTGAAACTGTTAAAGAGTTTATGTAAAAGTCTGTATGTTATTGTATGTATATGTATACATTTAATACTGAATTTCCGTATATTATTGACATTATTTTTACAAAGGAGTGTGTGATTGGACAATTCCACTTGTTTTAAAATACTAATGAAAATTGTATTGTTTCCAGTCTGAAACAAATCATTTACCTTATGTGGTTTAAATTATACGATTCAGAATACAAGCTATTATCCTCCGTCATGTTTTTAATTAGTTAAGCCTGACACTGGGCTCTTAGATTCTTGGAGAGATCTAATCTGTTCAGTTTGGCAAGTATGTATGTATGCATGGTCACACTGGATATAGATCCTAGGGGGCAGGCTAATATCTAGCATAGGTGAGGCTTGCTTAAAAGAGATCTTTCACTAGGAATTGTCCCTATATGGTTCCCAGACCATATACTAAATTTTGGTCTGCGATATCACTCACAATGAAACTGAATATCTTTGCAGCCTCAAAAATGGTTGAATTGGGATTTCTTTTTAGTCAAGGATGTTCCTTCCCTTTGAGGCTTCTAATCCTTTATAATACTCTATCTTGGAGTATGTCACTCGCTATTGGGGAGGGAATCAAAATGGAAAATTTACACCTGCCATACACAACATCGAATGATCCACTTCTGTCCCAGCCAACCAGTCGTTGGCCATAACATGTCTTGAATTGGAGGTGTGACCAAGTGCTAAAGGGCAAGTATATTATATGCAGTTGTCTTTATTTTTATTGTTGTACTAGTGTGGTCTGATAGAAGCTGTATTAGTTTCTAACAAGTTATTTTAAATGGTAGAATCACTATCAAAATTGAAAGTTTAATTCATTTTGGTGGGTCTGATAAAGTAGATCCAAATTTCCAATGATATAAAGCAGTATATAATATATTATATATAATAAAATAAGTGACATTCCAAATACATACCCATGCATTTCTGAATGTTACATTTAATATAAAACTACTTGAATCCCAAACTTAGCCTTCCATGCTTGATATATACAGTGAGGGTTATTTACTAAAACGTCAAGGTGCACAATCTGGTGCAGCTCTGCAGAGAAACCAATCAGCCTCCAGGTTTTTTTTTTGTTGAAGCTTAATTGAACAAGCTGATTGGCTACCATGCACAGCTGCACCAGATTCTGACTGCACCAGTTTTTAATTAATCTCCCAAAATGTCTTTGAAACTAATTGCTTTTTGCACATGGAGAACTACATGAGTCTAGATGACGTGTTTAAGAAATTGGTACCAACAAACTCAAATAAGACCACTTGTTAACTTACACTGGTAATGTGCTGAATTTAACTCATATTGTAAGGCCAAACCTATATTTAAATGTGTTTTTATGTTTGTTATATTTTCATGTACACCTAAAATATACTACATAATTTTGGTATATTCCTTTTTAATTTTATATTTTTGTATTTAAGATGGTTATTGTACTTATTTTTTGTACTTATATATTTTTTAAAATAAACTTGTTTGTTGACTGAAAAGGGTTTACTTCTCATTTGCACAAACCCATGTCCATATAGACATGGGATGACGAGTTTGGTGTAGAGGAACTTTGGGATGAATTGGAATGTAGATTGCTGGAGTGATCTTATTGTCCAACATCAGAACAATACCTCACAAATGCTCTTTTGGCTTAATGGCCACAACTTCTCACAGACACGATCCAAACACTTGTGGAAAGCCTTCTCATAGGAGTGAAGGTTGCTATAGCCACAAAGTTGGGACCACTTTCATATACTGTATATACCCATTGTTTTGGAATGGGATGTTCACATACGTGTATACGAAGTTTTGATCATGTAGTCTCTTAAAGAGCAACAAGTGGGGAGATATCTGCCAATACTCATACCAGCACTCCTTTATAACCAACAAAAGATTTATTCCTCAATAGCTTGAAACACATTACTGTACGGCAGCATGTGCCTCTAACCATCCTAAACTTTGCTCACTATCTAGTGAACTACTTGTAGTTTTTGAGCCACCTGTGACCCGATTACCTTTAGTCAACTGCTAGGAGATATTTTCCCCACCAACTTCCACCTGTTCTTCATATCCTACAGCCATGCAAGAGATATGACACCTAATGCCAATACCTATATCTGTAGGGTTACCATTGACAAAGGAGGACCAAAAATAGCACATACAAGGGTGTGGAAATTTTTTAAAAAACTACTTGTTTGGGGACTAAATCTGGGTCCCATTCTACTTCCCACATGACAATCTACTTGTCCAGATAAAAAAAAAAAAATAACCGTATTAAAATTTGAGGTGCTTTTAGGAATGTCTGGGGCTTTATGGCGAATTAAACATTACATTTTTTTAACATCGTTCTATATATCTGTTCCTCCCCTCCCTGCCTGTCTCCAGCACCGCACCCAGGGACTAGCAGGGAGGGGAGAGACTTTGCAGTGTAATCAGCACCGATTGGGTGCTCCTCAGGAAAAGGGAGTGTTGGGCTTATCCTTTATCCCTTTCGCTGCCAGAGCCGTTTTTGCATGGTTTTTTACACATTTAAAAAATAATTTTAGGCTTCAAGATTACACAAAATCCCTAAACATTATATATTTTCTGAAAGCAGACACCCTAGAGAATAAAATAGTGGTAGTCTCCCCTGAATGTAACGCAGTGTACATCACACTGCGTTACATTCTTTCCCGGCCTCAACTGTGAACGGGGACCCAAAGTGACATCATAACGCCATTTCTGGGTCAGGACAAGAAGGGGAGGGAGCAGACAGAAACAGAAAGGCATTATTGTCACTTTTCGGAATTGCAAACAATGTCATAATTTTTCCTTGTTTTATTCTCTCTTCCATCAGCCTCTGAAAAAATGAGAATCCATTTTAAGAACCTTTGAGAAAAATTTCAGTTCTGAAACCCTAGGGTAGTCTTTATGATGACTTTGCTTTTTGGTTCTTAGTGGCTAAAACATATGTAGTCTGTATAAAATTTTATAAAATACAGCCAAAAATAGCAAATGTGATTTGTAACATAGTATAAGGTGGCAAATCAAACGATTAAACACTGTCACAAGCCACCAAGTAAATTGAAACAAAGCAGAAGCCCACTCCTACAAATATTACATTGGATCTTCAAGTTTGGTCCTGGGGTACCTTCTCATTGTTAGGTAGGTGCAATATAATTGAACAGAATGTCCTGCCTCAACTACTCTTTCTGATTCAGACTCTACCAATCTTGATCACCCACCCTTTTCTCAGAGCCGCCCAACCTTTGATTATCATCTTCATTTGGGCCAATAAACCCCCCAGGTTGAAACAAGCAATCCTGTGATGCTCATAAACTAAAAGGGGGATATCCGCCCTTGACATCAAGCTGTAATATATTGTCTCTCCTACACGGTAATTGTGTATAGCCATTGAGCAATGATTCACTCCTATCCCCCTTCATACCATGCCATGTTGTGATCTACCATATTCACGGAATTTAAAATGTCACCCAACCTTGTTTCCCATTTGGACCATGGCCAAAACATTCCTGAGTAAAAAGGTTCTATCCCAATTCTGTCTTCTGTAACTGCCATTTCAGGGTATAGTGGCTTCCACCCTGGGTATTCATGACCCCCAATTTCTAGCTCTCCAGGGGATGGGCATCTACGGTCATTGCATCCTCAACCATACCTGGATCTCCTCAGATTCCCTTGCTGGCATCCCTAATCTGGCCTCCCTGGATCCTTGGCTACAGGGACAGCTGCTAAATTTCTTGTCCTCACTTCCTTCAGTCTCCAACTTTTAAGAGCCCCTCACCCCATTCGAGAGGGAATGTTCATTAACAGGCCTGAACAGATGCACTCTGGCCTTCTCCTATAAATTGCTGTTACAAGAAGACCATGTCTCCCCTGCCCTATCTAGAATGTTGGAAAAGAGATGTTGGCCTTGGAGAGAAAGTGGATCATATCCCTGTCTACCAAATCATCTATTTGTAATAAATATCGTAGTTTGGTTATAGGATCTTAACTTGTTGGTACGGGATGCCCCAGTAACTTCACCAATTTTTCTATACGCTGCCCCTTCCTGCCGGAGATGTGGACTGGGGATATCCTCCATATCTTCTGGTTATGCCCAAAACTTGCTAGATTTTTGTTCCAAGTCCACACTATCATTCAACAGTTCACTGACCACTCTGTGCCAAGAACCCCTGAATTGTTTCTGCTCCAACACAATACTATCCCGGTCAGTAGCTATAAGCACTGTCTTGATCCACTTGGTTAATGAAGGTCAGGCTATATTCCTGCATTTCGAAATTACCCAACTAACCTAATCTCCAAAACTGGTTTGACAGATTTATTGACTTAATGCTCATGGAAGGTCTTACAAGCTCTCTCAAAAACGTGACCACAACATTTTGTCATACCTGGTTTTATTAGCTCAAGTATCAGTTTACTAACAATTACAAATCTAAAATGTGACACTCTGGTTGAACCTCTTAGACTACCTTCTTTTGGGCTGAACATTGTTTTGGAGGGGGGAGTATAATCTTAAAAAGATTAAGAACCCCTGCAAAACCATTTTCGGGGCAAATTAACCATGAACAATGTTCTTGCGTCAGGTTAGGAAACCCACATAAACAAGAAATAGTATGCAAAAGGAATGAGTATGGTGGGCACTGAACACAGGACCCAGAAATACAAGGAGG